AAGGGCTTATTTTCTGGCACGATATCAGACAATGTATCACTGTTATTCATAAGATTTTCAGTAGGTAATCGCTCCAGAATGGAAGCTTCCTCCTAGTCTGGTCTTAGAACCCTGTTGTGGTGCTGTAGGATAAAGCATTCAACTGAAAGGTCAGTTTGAACCGCACTAAAGGACGGAACACTGAATGGTTTAAAATTAGCAAAGGTGTGCACCAGGGTTGTATTCTTTCACCGTACTTATTCAATCTGTATGCTGAGCACATAATCTGAGAAACTGGATTATATGAAGAAAAATATGGCATCAGGATTAGAGGAAGACCCATTAAAACCTGTGATATGCAGATGATACAACCTTGTTTGCTGAAAGCCAAGAAGACTTAAAATACTTACTGATGAAGATCAAAGGCCACAGTCTATGGTATGGTTGCACCTCAATGTAAAGAAGACAAAAATCCTCACCACTGGACCAATAAACAATATCCATGTAAGTGGAGAAAATATGGAAGTTGTCAAAGACTTCATTTTTCTCAGATCAACCATCAGCTCTCATGGAAGCAGCAGTCAAGAAATCAAATGACATACTTATTGCATTAGGCAAATCTGCTGCACAAGATCTCTTTAAAGTGTTCAAGAGGAACGATGTCAGTTTGAGGACTAAGGTGCACCTAACCCAATAACTTCATGTGTATGTGAAAGTTGGACAGTGAATAAAGGAAACCACAGAAGAATTGATGCATTTGAGTTATGGTGTTGGAGGAGAAGATTAAAAGTACCATGAACTCCCCCTCCAAGACTGTAGCTGGAAGGGAACACATGAGCAGACATGTAAGATTGCTGGTACCCATGTGGGTCTACTGGTGAATAGAAAAGAGGAAAAGGCAAGAATGAAGATATGGGCTAAGTTCAGCCACGTTCCACAGACTCCTGTTGACCTGGAGACGAGAAAGAGAAGAGGAAGAAAGAGCTGGTTGGTCCAAAGTGTGGTGAGACCTCAGGACTCCTGAGCCCATGAACAAGGACATAGCCACGGAAGGCTAGAGCTGAGAGTGAAACATCCAGCTGATATGAAGTGAGGGGAGATGCACAAGAATGCCCAAACTTTCACATGTACCCATTTGACCTAGCCTTGATGGCTTGATGATCAGAACTCTACTAAAGTAAGATAAAAAAAAAAAATTGATAAAGGAAATGAGTGTAAATTGCTACAAGTTGATGAACTTGACCTATACTTATAGATGTAGTAGCTCAAAACACCAGCTGAGAGGGAAGGAGTCTTCACATCAAGTATCAATCCTATCTCCTCTGTATACAGGGTTGATAGGGACAGGCAACTTGGACATTGGCTACCTAAAATGAGAGGATGGAAAAGACATGACGTGACTGACAAGTTTTCAAGATGGAGTTTAGTTTAAGAGTGTGTGGGGAAAGGTAAAGTCCACACTGAGTAGTTTTCGTCTAGTCTAGATGGGTCTAGTGAAAAGAGATGGAGATAAGATTCTTATGATTCAATAGTGAGTAATTGTCACCATGACTAATTGCGACTGTCACAGCTGTAAAGGTAGAAGTTTTGTAACAAAAATGGGGAAGTAGTTGATCTTACCGTCCAGGAACAGAGGACCCTAGGACCTTCAAGGGAGAAGACCACAAGCAGAATGCAGGACCCTATCCAGAGAAGCAGCAACACCAGAGATGGAGACAGAGATGAGGACATGGAGAGAGAGAGCAGCTGAGGACTCTAGCTAGACTCATGGAAAGAGAAAGACTGAGTGCTGGCAACCAGGAGGCAGCCTTGCAGAATGTGCCCTCTGGCTGTTTAAATTATTATATATTCCTGAGTGTTTCTGTGTACATCCCCACCCACACACACACACAAAACAGACAGAATAGAATAGAATAATTCTATTCTATTATTCATTGAATGTGGATGAATGGAGGAGACTGTAATCACTGCAATGAAACAATGGTGTAAAAATTATGTTCTCCCATGTAAACTGCCACTCAGTTCACACACACACACACACATACACACACACACACAAAAAAAGTACCATTGACTGCCAAAAAGTGTTGAAAGAAGTACAACCAGAATGCTCCTTGGAAGCCAAGCTGGACAGACTTTGTTTCCCATACTTTGGACACAGTGTCAGAAGGAACCAGTCCCTGGTAAAGGATATCAGATTTGGTCAAGTGGAGGATTGGAGAGTAAGAAGAAGATCCCCAACTAGATGGATTGGCACAGTGGCAGAAGCAATGGACTCAAACATAGCAACGATTGAGAGGTTGGCACAGGACTGGACAATGCTTCATTCTGTTGTTCATAGGGTAACTATGAATCAGTACTGACACGATGACACCTAACAACAACAAAAGGTTGGCGGTACAAACCCACTAACTGCTCCTCGGAAACCCTATATAGGGTCGCTATGAGTCTGAACAGAACATGGGAACACTGAATGGTTTAAAATTAAAAAAGGTGTACAACAAGGTTGTATTTTTTTATCATACTTATTCAATCTGTATGCTGAGCAAATAATCTGAGAAGCTGAGTTATATGAAGAAGAACGTGGCATCAGGATTGGAGGAAGACTCATTAACAGCCTGCGGTATGCAGATGATACAACCTTGCTTGCTGAAAGTGAAGAGGACTTAAAACATTTACTGATGATCAAAGAGCACAGCGTTCCATATGGATTACATCTCAACGTAAAGAAAACAAATATCCTCACCACTGGACCAATTAACAACATTCTCATCAACAGAGAAAAGATTGAAGTTGTCAAGGACTTTATTCTTCTTGGATCAACTATCAACACTCACGGAAGCAGCAGTCAAGAAATCAAACGATATATTGCATTAGGCAAATCTGCTGCACAAGACCTTTTAAAGTGTTGAAGTGCAAAGATGCCAGCTGGAGGACTAAGGTGCGCCTGACCCAAGCCATGATATTTTCAATAACCTCATATGCATGCAAAAGCTGGATAGTGAGTAAGGAAGATCGTAGAAGAATTGATGCTTTTGAGTTATGGTGTTGGAGGAGAATATTGAAAGTACCATGGGCTGTCAAAAGAACCAATAGATCTGTTTTGGAAGAAGTACAGCCAGAGTGCTCCTTGGAGGCCAGGATGGCCAAACTTTGTCTCTCATACTTCGGGTATATTGTCAGGAGGGACCAGTCGCTGGAGAAGGATATCATGTTTGGTAAGGTGGGAGGGTCAGAGAAAAAGAGGAAGACCCCAAACGAGATAGATTGGCGAAGTGGCAGCATCGATGGACTCAAGCATGGCAACAGTAGTGAGATCAGCCTAAGATCAGGCAGTGTTTCATTCTGCTGTGCATAGGGTCGCTATGAGCCGGTACCAACTCAATGGCACCTAACAACAAAAACAACATGAGTCTGAACCGACTCGGCAGCAGACTGGAAACTCCGCTGAATTCTGTTCACCAGGGATGATCCTACTGATATTTGAAACACCAGCGGCATAGCTTCTAGTTTCACAGTAACATGCAAGCCACCACAGTATGACAAACTGACAGATGTGTTGGACCTTTAAGCCTAGAGAATGGCAAACCTGACCAATTCCCTACAAGGATTCCTTAGACCTTATTTGCATTCTGTCCCTGCAAGTGTTCCTTGTACTTTATTTGCTCTAGCAAACTGACCACTTCCCTTGGTGGACCACAAGCACCTTGTTTGCAAACTCTCATCCAATAATTTTTTAAGAGTTACAAGACCATGTCTAGAAGGAACATATTAAAGCAATGTGCTGTACCTATGTACCTGTTGGCTAGTGTCTTGTGCACCCTGAGTTTTATGTTCATGAGTACTTGTTACCCAAGCACCTTGTGTACAATGGAGCTTCAAAAAGTTCATAGAAAAATGGAATTAAAAGATAACGTTGGGTGCCTAGGGCCTGGTCAGGGACCACCAGCTCTCTGAGTGGCTGTACCCTCACCACCCCTGCCTGCAGTTGGAGAGCTGAGGAGGACCTTCAGGGCCACTCCACCTCCCTCAAGCATTCATCCCAAGCTGAGTAATGGCTCTGCCAGCTGCATAGGGTCTGCATGGGTTAGGAGGCCAATATCCTTAGGAAGGAGTGAGGGACCACTGAGGTCTTCAGTGATCCTGGGGCCCATCTCTTGCACTGTGCGGCACCTCAGGTCATATGGAACTTTTCTTGATATGACTCAGCCCAGCCCAGATTTTTCGATCTCATTGTTGCATCTGGGTTGCCTTTCCTGAGAACATTAATTTGGGACTTTTGGGTAACCCTTTGGTCCCTCTCCCCAGGCCCCCATGAATCCCAGGATGTTCTACACCCAGAGTCTAAGGAGGACAAGGCCCTTTGGGTGGCTGAGCATCCCACTGCCCACTGTGTCTTGATCTAGATCCTTCCCCAGCCAGAGACGGACAAGGCCCCATCTTGCCCAGAGGCATTGCCCACCCTCCTACCCCCATTTAGCCCTTCATGAGTGTATGCCTTTAGCCCCTATCTCTCCCCATAGATGTGCAGCCCCTACATCAGTGCCCATCCTCCTGCCCCCGTGCGTCCTCCATGGATGTGCAGTTCCCCACCTGTCCCCTATAGGTACATGCCACTGCCCCTCAAGGGTGTGTGGACCCCTCTTGGGTGCATGTTATACTGACCCTCTTTTCCCTACAGGTGCATTCTCTGTGCCCCTCAGTGGATGTGCACCCCTGCCTCCTGGACTTCCCTGTCTCCCACACATCTCATCTCTCTCTTGGGTGCATGCCCCCTACACCCAGGCCTTTGTGGTTGTGTACCCCCAGCCTTCAGTGTCCACAGGAAACACATGTGTGAAAACTTTATTGAGAGTAGCCCCGAGCAAGAGTATGCACAACATACATTACAGGAGCCCAGGGTAAGCCCAGAAGCACCTAAAACGGTACCAAGGGGGCACAGGGGCTCAGGAAGCAGTGAGGGTAGCTCTGTCCAGACAGAATCTTCTAGACACAGCCTGGGGAGTGGGCTCTGACACCACTCAGACCTTGGCCAGGACACAGTGCTCGTCAGCATGTTCCTCTTGGATGGGGGTCCGGAAGCTGTTGCCCCCTGGGGAGGAGGACAGAGCATATGGGAGATGGATGGGGCCTCCCTCTGAGGGAGGGGGTCTGGGGTGAGACAGGCCTGCACTTACCGGGGGGCTTCGGGGTGGCCAGTGGCAGCCTCCAAGCTTGGTGATGTAGAAACAGGATAAGAGCTGCAGACATAGCACCCAACAAGCCCAGGCCCAGGCCCACACCCAGGATGACAGACAAAACAGGACCTGTGGGGGACAGGGCTGGCTGGGGTTGGGGTTCACGGGGGACAGGGAGACCTCATCCCCAGCACCCCATCTACTTGGGATGAGGCTAGGCTCCTTACCTCCAGGGCGGTCTGTGGGGGCTTTGGAGGGCCTGTGTGAGGTCCCGGACTGGGCAGTGGTAGGCCGGGCAGTGGTAGGCAGGGCTGGGTGGTTCTGGGTGCTCCAGGGCAGCCTGGTGGCTGGGGGGTTTTTGTCCTCACATATGGAGTCTGAACTGTTGCTGGCTGGCTTCAGGGTACGCTTTCCGGTGGAGGTGCAGCTGTGGGGGCAGGAGGAGCCTGATCAGAGGAGATCTGAGGGCCCCACTTGGGGGGTTCCAGAATGGAGACTGCAATGGAGGCATGCCACTCTTGGTGGAACTGTGATAGGGAGGTCTGAACTAAGCTGGACTGTAATGAGGGGATCCACACTGTCTCCAACTGTAATGGGGGAGGATTCCACCCTAGTTCTACCTCTGGAGAGCATCCACACCTGCCTTAGAGCCCAGACCAGAGGAGAAGGGGCCCAGGCCCTGGAAACGCTTGTGACCACAGACAGATGGCCCTGGCTTCCCCAGCTCCCTGCATCCCTGCAGGGCATACCTGCAGGGTCCCAGTCACTCTGCTCCCCACACTGGCCCATTCTGTCTATACCCCTACGGCTCTATGGAGCCTGGGTACCCCAACCCCTGCCCTTTGTCCTGCCTGCCTCCCTCTAGAATGTCAGCCCCAACTGTGGATGGTCATATACACACTCTCACACACTCCCACACACATACCACACACTTGCTCACACATAGACAAAACCACACTCACATACTTACATTCATATAACTTCTCTGCCAGGACCTGGGCCTGGCCACATACCCCACCTCTGAGCTCAAATACCACCCAGGCCCCCAGCCCCCAGTCTCCCAGGCCCCTGAGCCCTTAGGCCCTGTGCCTGCCACTTACTCGGTCCAGGGCTTACAAGGCTGGTTGAAGCCTGGGGAAAAGTGTCTAGGTGGACAGGGGGAGCAGTCTGCAGGGGAGAGAGAAGACAGGCTTAGCCCCATTTAGCCCTTCCTTCCCATGGCCCACCCTTCACCTCTTTGAGGCTTGAAGGGGTCCCAGGCATGGCACGGGGCCAGGCTTGCTAAAGCCAACCCACTACCGGTACTCACCGACTCCCAGCTTGTAGCCACCCTGAGGCTCGGTGCCCGGCCTACAGTGACAGACAGTGTCGCTCTTGGGTGTGCAGACCTGCACGGGCTCACTCCCACTTCCTGGGCAGAGGCAGAGCCAGGGAGGGGTCAGGGCACGGGCTGGGACCAGGGTTTGCACAAGCACTAAGGGCCTCAGGGTTCATTCCCCAGAAGACAACCTGAAGCCGGTATGGACCAGGAACATTCCTGAAGGTGTCACAGATCTGCCTGTCTGCCTTCTTCAGGACCCTGTGGCCCCTAGGCCCTCTCCCTTCTGTAGGGACCTTCCCAAAAGGCCAGTTCAGACTAGGTGAGGCCCACGTGGCTGACACAGGCCCCACCTCCACTCCAACCACTCCTGTGGTGGGACCCCCGGGGGAGCAGCCCACTGTGGTTTGAGGTTTGTTTCTGGGGCTGTGTGGGGACATGTAACTGTGGAAGGTGGCTGTGGTCTCCCAGGGCTGGCTGGGGCACGGGGGGAGGAGAAGCCGGGGCTTGGTGGGGGGGTGGGGGGTAACCTGTGGTGCTCACTCTCATTGCATCGGGTACATGGCCTGCAAACGTCGTAGTTGAAAGCTTCGTTGTAGTAACCCGATTGGCACGGCTGGCACACGGTGTCTCGAGAGTGGTCACAGCGACTCTCCATCCCATAACCTGTGGAGGGGAGGAGGCGTAGGTGACCTCAGAACCGAACTCCTCGGTCCACAGACCAGTCACCTTGGCCAGGCCCTAGATGGTCCATCACTAAGCACTAGATGGTGGGAGAGACTACACGCGCCCCTCTCTCATCACCTGTATGACTACACCACCCTGTCTACCTTCACTCCCAGCCCCCTCCCCATTCCCTTCCCAGTCTTCCCGCTGGCCCCCTCCCCTGCATGTCCTGACCCCCTCTCAGCCCCATGACCCAGAGCCTCACCAGGCTGACACTCATGACAGCATTTGCTGCCGCTGACGTAGGTGGTCCCACTGCAGATGAGTGTGGCTGCAGGGTGGAACGCCAAGGCCAGAAGTAGCAGTGCCACGCAGGGCACCACCAGCCTGGGCCGCGCCCCCGCGCACATCCTCATCTCCTCAGAGTCTGGGGCTGTTCTTGCAGGATGTGGCTATAAGAGCTGCGGGGGAAGGGCGGGATGGAGGGGGAGGAGCAGGAGGAAATGGAATCCTGGGGGACCCCAACCCAGACTGTAGCCTGTACACCAGCTCTTGGCCCCCTACTCCTGACGACCACCAACCTCGCTAGGGCCTCTCCCCAGCATAAAGATCACAGGCGGGGGTGTATGGGGATGATACTGTGAAAACAGAGCCTCGCCAGGTTCTCAGGGCCTGGTCCTGCCTGCCTCTCCTCTCCCATAGGGCCAGGCCCCTCACAGAGGTCAGAGCCCCCTGCCCGGCACATATCACTCTGACTCTCTCTGCCTGGGGAAGAGGGGGCATCCTGGGCTACATTCGTGCCAGTCTTCAGCCTCTCAACAAATGGGCTGCCTGGACCACTGCTTTGATCAAGGCAGCGGGCTGGGTCAGGAAAAGTGGCTGGAGCAGTCCCCATTGGCCATCCCCAGACTTCATGCAGGTGGGCTCCATGGGGACAAAGGCACAGTGGAGCAAACTATGGTGACCGGGCAGAGGGTGGGGTGGGCTTAGCTTGTGGTGCCCCCTGAGTGACCAGGGTAAGCTGGGCCAACATAGTGGCCAGCAGTGACGATAAGGCCCCTGTGCACGGCAAGTGTGAGGGGTGGGTACAAATGTGTGTCCCTGTGGCTGAACCGCACATGCCAAGCTATGGACACAAATGTGGTGGCCTTTGCAGACAAACCCCCAGGTTCCATCTGAGCTGCTCTGGTGGCTCAGCCACTCTTGTGGGCCCCAAACTCTGACTCCAGGTGGCCCAGGTCATAGCATGGGCCTTCAGGACCCCATTTCAAGCAACTCAACCCACCCAGTCTAACACACTGGGCTTCAGGCTGTCACCACAACACTGCCATAGGATGACCTTGTCTCCTGTGGAGGGGGTATTCCAGCAAGGCCAAGGGCAGAGTATGCTCATCAGCACCTGTATCAAGGGAGGACACACAAGCATGCACACATACCATTTGCACAGGCACATACATGCACACCTATACATTGTTGTTGTTGAGTGCCATTGAGTGGGTTCCAAATCATAGTGGCCTTGTATAGGGTTTCCAAGGAGTAGCTGGTGGATTTGAACCATCAACCTTACAGTTCAAACTGACCTTGCAGTCCAGTGCTTATCCTACACCACACTACACACACACACACATATACGGTACATATATAAATGTGCAGGCATACATCGTACATGCATGCAGACCATGTATACAAAAAAACCCACGCATGCGTGAGTACACACACCACACAAGCATGCATGCAGACACATGCACAGATGTCACATACTTTCACACATACATCCCTGCATCTACACGCACTCAGACATGTGCACACATGCGTTTGCTTTTCTTCTACTCAACACTGTCTTGGTAGGGGATAGGGGGAAATGACAAGGAGGTGTCCTTTGTGCCCTCTAACTTGCGACCCTGTGAAAAGATTATCTATCAAAAATTCAACTCAAGATGAGTCTCCTGGTTGTTGCCTGGCTGGGCAAAGCAAAGGCCTAAATGCACTGCTGTGGAGTCAATTCTGACTTTCTAACTCATAGCGCCCCTAGAGGACAGCCCCTTTGGTTTCTAAGGCTGCCACCTTTATAGAAGCCGACTGCTACATTCTCTATTCTGGGGAAGGTGGAAATCCCCCTCCTCTGAAGGAAATTCTCCTGCTGGGAAATTCCACACCTCCGCTGGCCAGTTGCCCCCTCCTCAGCAGCAGGAGGGGGTGGCGGGAAAGGCAGGCTCTCCACTTCCCTCTCCAGACTCACCTCCCCAAAGCCTCCAGAGTGGTCCCCTCATTGCTACAGCAGGAGGAGAGGGGCTCAGGGCCTCCCAGGCAGTTATGGTGGTGTGCACATATATGGTTTGTGTACAGTTGTGTAAGCAGCTGCACTCCCAACCACAACTTCCTGCGTTTTCTGGAAGGTTCCACCTTACTCTCTAGTCCCCTCTCCTACTAAGAAAAATCTTACATTTGCCATTAAAAGCAAACTGATTTCCTCTTTGGCAAACTTCGTTCCTGTGGGCAGGCAGTGTGTTGCTCCTGAGGTCCCCTTCCCCACACTCTGCACTGACAGGCATAGGTCTGTGTGTGGAATGCCACCGCACCCAATTCTCCAGACTCACTCACAGCCACCCTCTCCCCCTGCCTGCTATGGGGTCCAGGTGACTGCCCTGGTCACCTCTGGGATCTGAGGGTAGGCCTGCCCCCCACGCCCCCATCAGGGCTCTGAACGAATGCCTAACAGAAGGGGCCTCACTGCCAGCAACTCAGAAGGTGAGTGTGACCAAGGAGGCCTGGCTGCACCCCCACAGCATCCGGCACAGCTGCTGGCTCAGGACAACACCAGACCTCTCCTCCGTCAGCCCCCAGGTCCCTTCCTGTGGATTGGAGAGTGAGGGGCATGGTAGTAAGCCAAATGGTAGGCCAGAGGGCACCTGGGAGCAGACAAGGAGGGAAGGCTCTTAGCAAGAAACTCAGTGGGGGCCCAGACAGGCATTGAGGGTGGGGAGGGTTACCCTGAAGGCATGCCCACCACACAGTGCTGGTCAACCGTCAAAGGTCCATACAAAACACTAGCTCTGGGGACCTGCTCACATCCTGTGCCAGTATGAAAAATCTTCGAGCCCCTTGTTCATAGAAAACAGCCCCTAGTGTCCCCAGCCCAGGGGTCTATCAGTGACACCTCTTTCTTGTCTAAAAAGCCAGTTTGTGAAGTGATATCCAGGTAACAACTTGGGGGACAGGTTCCTCAGCCACCCTGTTCCCCACCCAGTGCAGCAGGGCAGAACTCGGGGCTGCCTGCATCCCAGCAGGGGGAGGGGAGGTTGATGTCCCCCAACATGGCCACTCAAGGTTCCCAACACCCAAGGAGCCCTGGTAGTATGGAGGATTTTGAGTTGGGCTGTTAACCACAAGGTCAGCAGTTTGAATGTACCAGCCGCTCTGCGGGAGAAAGACGGGGCTTTCTGCTCCCGTAAAGATTTACAGCCTCGGAAATCCTGTGCAGAGCAGCTATGAGTCAGAAGCGACTCCACGATGCACTCCCACCGCCGCTGCTCAGCAGCTGCCGCAGCCCTAGATGCACCTCAGGCCACTTGCTCTGTGGGAGCCGCCAGTCACACTGCAACAACTATCACTTTTCCAATGAAAGAAAGAAGCTGAGAGAAAAAAAAAAAAACTATATTTCCAAGTAAATGAATGACCCGTCACAATAAACATCGTCATTTCCTCAGAGGTGGCACTGCCTGGTGTGGGTAGTTCCAATATGGTCCGGTGGTCTGAGGCTGCCTGCTGCTCCATGGGGCCAGCTTGGCCCCTCAGAGACATGAGGCACAGCAGGGAGTAGTGTTCCCCCAGAGGCCCCCTCTCTTCTTAATCCTTGTATCCAAGGAGCTCGAGAAGCAGCAGGTTTGAAGCCCCCTGGGGCAGGAACAGATTTGGTGGGGGGGGGGGGAAACCTTACGGATACCCCAGGGCTTCTCAACAAGAGCAGAGACCTCTGTGCGTCAGTGAACTTTAAAGCCTGCAGACCTGGGTCTGATGGGAGGGGGAGAAGATCCAGAAGGCGCCACCCACAGCCCCAGCCCCAGCCAAGGACACAGGACAGAGCAGTGTCAGAAGTGTCCAGACCTAGCCCAGGGACGAGGGCCCTTCAGTGGAAATCAGAACTCCTCGTGCACGCTGCGAGCGTAGTCCACTAGCTTGCTGCCTGTGAAGAACTCGCTGTACTTGAGGATCTCCTCAGGCTCCAGGTGATGGTTCTGGTTCTCATCCGCGATGGCAATCATCTGCTTGGCCTCATTGAGGGCATTGTACTCGTTCATGGGGTCCATGTACTCCTGCAACAGACACCACGAAGCAGTCAGGGAGGCTAGCCCCATCGGTCCAGTGCTACCTCCACGCTGTGCCCACTACATCCCAGATGCCAGTCCTTGAGTGGGGGTGCTGCAACTCACTGCCACCACCAAGTCCCTCCAGTCCGTCCAAGGGAATGGACCACCCACCCCTCCAGGGCTTGGCTCCTCCCTGTCTCCCTTCCCATTCCTGCTGAATGGAAACCCTCCTGGGAAAGCCAGGGGCGGCCTGAGCATTCAGTCCCCCAAGGTCTCTTGGGGATACATAGACCACCCCCCCCTCAGGGCAGCACTCCAGACAGCATTGGGTTCCTGATCAATGCAGTCTAGAAAGGACACCACATCCCCCAAGCGTGGCCCCTCCCACCCCTCCACACAGTCGCTGTCCCCCACCTCTAGCTCCTCTGGGGTCACGATCCCATCATGGTTGGCATCAATCAGCTCCTCAAACTCTCGCTTCCTGTCTTTGACCCAGTTGTCATCAATGTCCTGAGCCTGCTGGTTCTCCACTGTGCCCACAGGCAAGGAGATGAACTCCGGCAGCGAGAGTCGTTTGTCACCGTCCTGGTCTGCAGGACACCAGCACATGACCTCAGGACACATGGGGAACCAAGGGGCAGGTAGGGCTGCAGGGCATGTGGGGGACAAAGGCTGCGCCTGGGTCTGTTTGTCACGATAGTCAGCCTGAGCAAGGACCACTGGGCCACCTCAGCCTTCACATCTGCCCTCCAAGGGAGGAAGAATGGCCCCTGCCCCACCCATGAAAGCCACCACATACCCCCCACTCCCCGCCCCACCTCACCCAGGTCTCGCACAATCTCCTTGACCATGAACTGCAGCATGCCCCGGCTGTGCTCTGGGTGGAGGAAGGACAGGAACTCATCCTCGGTCAGCAACAGGTCTGAGGGGGGATTGTCTGCCTGGTACCAGCGGTCCTTGAGGTTCTCCAGGACTTCCTGTGCTGAGAGGTGCCGTCTGTGAGGACCTTGGCATGCTGGGCTGGTCTGCCCATGGGCCAAGACACTGGGATGGCCGGACACTGCCAGGCTGGACATAGCAGGAGCTATGAGCCAGGTGGAGGGAGTTCAGCCTCTGGGGCCAATGAGGGGGCTTCAGGGGCAAGCAACAGTCCCTACTGAACTCACAGCCCTTTACCACCTGGGGCAGTTTTCTGGAGGGCTGTTCGCTCCCCAGACCCTGGTGAGAAGGGCACTCAGAACTTTCTGGCTAGAACCAAGAATCTCTTGTGGCTTCAATCACACACTAGGTGGGGTAACTGCACAGGCTACCCTGAGGCTTGAGGTGGACGCTCAAGGGATAACTACAGGCCCAGTGTAAACAACTCTCAGGGAGACAACATGCAGGGTGGACATGTGTAGGGTGACCACAGGTCCCACACACCCAGGTGACCGCCTCTACCCTGGGTCTTGCTGACTGACCACTCCGGGTCACTTTCAGCCCCCATCTTCCATTTCATTTTTCTTCAGGTCACTTTTAACATGTGGAATGTGAAAACGTAATAGACCATCGCCCTTTCAAACCTGAATCGTTCTACCAAGCTACTAATGGAGAATCACCTAAGGCAGGCCCAACCCCTCACCAAACCCCGGGTCACCAGCCCCAAGGTCAGCCCCTGATCTCACTGACCACCGCCCTCCACACCCAGCTGCTTCTCTTTGGGGTGCCCAGACCCGACGGGCTGCTCTAGCAGCCAAGAGAGCCCCTCAACTGGAATCAGGGGCTATCCTGTTTGTCCCCTCTCCACCATGACCAGCACCAGCACTGCACCCATTGCCTGTCCTCTGGAGACCCTTAACACTGTCTCCTTGCCAACACCAGTGGCCCCAGGTCCCATCCCTCTACCCACACAGGGTCAGGGGTCACCTGCTCTTGACCCCTGACTCCTGCACAAGGTGGGGAGTCAGCAGGCAGCAGCAGGGGGTAGTATTAGGAAGTGAGGGGCCCGGGGAGAGGAGGCGTCTCATGTAACTCCCAGCTGTTTGTTTACTCTTCATGAGAAATGGAGGTGCGCTGTGGGGGCTGACTAAACTGTTTACAGGAACGAAAGGTAACGTCTGTTCTTTTTCTCAAGTACTTTCACGTGCATAGTTGCTTTGGGGAGATAAGGAAAACCCAGTTTCTAGATTTGACTACGAGAGCAGTTAAATGAACTTTCCATAGGCTCCTTCTGCGCACTGAGGAAGCTCTGTGAACGTCACATCTCCTTCCCCTGCCCCTGTGGAGAGGAATCCCAACAGCCCACCCCCACGGCCCCCTGGTGGAGAGGTCTGATGCAGGGCACCCTCAGGGCGGCCGTCCATCAGGCGCTGGTCCCTCCAGAACAGCAGGTGTTCGAGGCAGCAGGCTGTGGCATGAGGAGCCTTCCCATGACCTGTCTGCTGGCTGGTCAGCTCCTTTTAGCTCTTTCCTCATGATGCTTCTGGCACTTTTGCCTCCTCTTCCCTAGAAGCTGAAGCTCAGCAGAAGCCAATTCTCCAACCCAAATCATTCCACTCTCCACCCTGACCAGAAATCCCAGCACTCAGGGCCTTTGTAGGCTGCTCCCACTGCTAGAGGCCAGCACCCCTTGACCTCTGGCCAGCTCCTCGCCAACCTCTGGCCTCCAAGTACAGCCCAGCTGGGTCAGGATGCATGTCTACACTGCCTACTCCTCTGTGGAGAGTGTTCATCATTGAACATTTGTGCCCAAGGCAATACTGTGCCAGTCCCTTACCCCAGTCCCCCTGCTGCACCCTGGGTGGGCGTATCTGACGTCTCGCCACAGCCTTTGTGACACCTACATGCCTACATCTCACAAGAGATGCACATACAAACATGCACGTACATACACGTGCACACACACAGGGGAATACCATCAGCCTGCCCTACAGCTGCCCAGGGGTCCTGGCCAAGGGGCGACACCACAGGGAAGCCCTGCCAAGCACGGCCAGCACACAGACTCACTCTCCTCGTCCACCTTCAGGTCCTCATTGTTCTTTATCCTCTCGGCAACCTCTCGCTCATTGTGGCCTTTGCTTGCCAGGAACTTCACCCGGTACTCGTCCCACGACACTCGGCCTGCAGAGTGGTCACACTGTTAGGTGGTTAACACTCAGCTTCTGAAGACAGTGACCCAGTTTCCTGAGACATACGGTTAAAATCTTGATGCTACGGGGTACTGAGGGAGTCCTGGTGTGGCACCATAGGATAAGCACTGAACTGCTAACCACAGGTCGGCGATCCAAACCCACCACCTACACAGGGTCCCTATGAGTCAGAATCAATTCAAAGGCCCTACCAACTACAGGCAGATGGGACAACAGACAGCTCCAGATGCCCAGTCCCCAGGTCCCCTCTCACAGCACTGTGGGAAGGGAGGGGCCCACTGTTACCATCTGCCAGTCAGGGTGCCCACAGGGCAGTCATGAAAGCCTCCCACTCAGGGCCAGCTATGTGTCCCATGTGTCCAACTGCTGTGTGTCATTGTTCCCCAAGAGGACTCAGATGCCCCTAGACAATTGAGCCAGATTGTCAGAGCACCTCCTGCCCCCTTGGGGGTACAGTTCAGCACCCAGGGATGCCCAGAGCCTGCTGGCCAGGGCCCAGAGGGAGTGAAAGGACACACGGTCCTGGAAGAGGGCCTGGAGGAAACCTCAGGAACACAACCTTTCCACCTGACAGGAGCACATCCTGTACTCCAGGGAGACCGGGACTTCACATCCCACTGTGTCCCCACCCCCTGCAGCCGTCTAGGAGCCCCCAGGCACGGTCTGGGCCTGTTTCACTGTGTTGCCCCATGAAGCCACAGGCAGCAATTGCTGAGGGAACGTGTGTCCCCTAGAGCCCCTCGTACCATCGCCATCGGGGTCCACGGAGCGGAAGTGCAGTTTGTTCTCGCGGACGGCCTCCTGGAAGTGCTCAGCCGTTTTCTCCATGATCCAGTGCTGCATCTCCTTGGCACTGATCCTGCGGTCAGCGTTCACATCCACCCTGTGGGAGGGGACAGGCAGAGACCCTCAGCCACCAGTATCAGCTGGCAGAAAGGAGGGAGGGGAGCAGGGGACAGGAGGGACAGGACATAGATGAAGTGGGCAGTGTCGTCTCCAGCTCCATCTCCAAACAGTGAAACAAGCCGACTGTCATCTCCCTGTGGGTGGCGGTCACCTAGTTGCTACTTCTGCTTCACATTCCTGCCACTGTTCCTTATTCAAGGCAGACATCTGACCACACAAACCTCCCAGGGACATGCCAAGTTACAGGGTAGCACCCCCCCGGCTAACAGTAGACCCCAGCACATGTCCTTGGAGGGAACCAAGTCCCCCACTCCTCTGCTGCAGTCGGGTGGTCTCTTGGTCCCACATAGCACTGGGCCTAGGGAGCCCTCACCGGCAGCACAGAGCATAGTGGGCAATGGTCTATTAGCCACCTCAGCAACACACACCACATACAGCAGAAACGCACCATCAGCCAGCCTAACAATGTGAGCCAGGGCTCATTTAGAGGAAAAGCTACAGACACAAACACTCTCTTACAGAAAACAAAGGCATCAGAGTGAGCCAAGAGAGTGGACAGGTATGAACTATTCAAAGGTACTCATCGGAGAAACAAGAGGAGAAGGCCTAGAAACAATGGTACCCCTACAGCAAAAAGCAGACCTGGTTTCTGATCCTTTCTCCCATCACAGGCTCCTGGGGGAGTGGCCCGGCAGGGGACTTGCAAGATGAGCCTGCAGCTACTCATACAGTAAGAAGGTAAGAGTCTTCAGAGAAGAGGGGACTACAAAAGGGACACAGGAGCCCCCCATCAGTCAACACTGTAGCAACACAATAAAAGACGTGGTGCTGGGCTATGACAGAAAGTATCAGCAGATACCCAAGTCCACACTGACATAAACGAGAAAGCAAATCAACCAACGGGAGAAAGGTCCTCCTTACAGAAGAGATCCGGGTAACACAGGTGATGATGCATCCACCCTCCCGAAGGAGGCGGGGCCTAACCTGAACCACTCCAGGCTGGGCAGGGCTCAGTGACTCCTGCTAAAGACCAGGAAACGGGAGGTGACTTCACAAGGAGAGGTGGGTGTTCTGCACCCAGATGCAGACCCCTGTGGTCTTTCTCCCCAAACCCCACGGCCCTAGTCTCATCAGGAGCAAACACGCCAGGCAGACCCAACCAAGGACCGTCCACAGAACACAGAGCACAGAGCAGTGCTCTCAGGAGGTCAGGGTCTGGAGACAAGGAGTCTGAGAAGCTATGGACACACAGGGTCTGGGCCAGGCTTCTCCGTGTACACACACAGCACAGCCAGGTCAGATGCTAATAGTGGGCATTCAGTCTGTGATGTACCCCAGGGCCAGAACAGCACACAGCCTCCATCACTCACCTGCCCTGCCACTACCTTCACCCCTGACCCCAACCCTATCCCACCATTAGGACCTTCCCCAGGTCCACCCAATAAACCTCACCCTGTCACAAGCTCCAGATCTCCCAGGGCGAGGAGCTGGGTCTCATACAAGTGTCCCTCCACCTGGACCCCAGGATGCCTCATCTGGGACCCCTGTGTGCTGTAGAGGGAGGAGCCCCGTGAATGCACTGCTCAAGGCTGCACGTCCCTACCACCAGGGGGCAGCTCTGAGAAGGAGCCATAAACCCCATCCCGGAGATCAAGGTAAAGCAGCCCTGCCCCCTGGTGGCCACTCCCCGCTTCTTTCTTGCTCGAGTTTGAAACCAAAGGCAGCAAAACTCCACTCCCTGCCACTATCACAAAGAATCAGGAAACCCAAATGCCTCTACATGGAAGCACGGAAGCATGCGCACAGTGCCTCTGTGAAGACGCACCCCCCTTACTGGGTTCCCCAACACCCCTCCTTTGACCCCTCCCTCAATATACTCTCCCCTGGTTCCCCACTGGTGGGCGTTTACACCTGATCATCCAGCTCCCTGACACCCCCTCCCCTGAGTCCCTCATTTCTTGGATCCTGTCCTCACTCGGCTCTCTGACACCCCTCCTGGGGTCTCCCATCTCTTGGACCCTGTCCCCTAACAACAACTCCTTTGCTGGTTCCTTTCTCCCTGACGTCTGAAGTTAGCTGGGCCAGGGCTCAGTCCTCGCCTGTCCGCCCTCCATGATGATCCAACTAGCCCCAGATTCCACTCTCTACTCAATGAAAGTGTCCACACCCACTTCCAGACTGGAGGGCCCTGAACGCCAGCATCCACACCGGCCCCCACCTCACCAACACCCTCCTGGCTGTTCAGGTCAAATTTGAACACATCACTCGAAATCCCCACAATCCATCAGCAAAGTCAGCTACACTGTCTTGCAGTACCGTCCCCACCACTGTCCTGTGATGTTAAGTGACTGCCATAGTTGGCCTTCCTGACCCCACGTCCCTTCCTCTGTTCTCCATAAGCAGCCAGAGGAGCCAAGCTGTAGCCAGTGACACATGCCCCCCTTCTCAAACCCTGCAACAGCCAGTGGCAGGCCCACCATCTTACCATGCCCACCGTACAGACAGCAACACTGAGATGTAAAACTCAGGGCAGGGAAGGGACTGGAAGCGGGGTTCCCAAAGCTTTTCCCAGCTGTGTGGCCTTACACCAACCTGCCCCACCATGCTGCCCTCCATCCCCAGCGGTCCCTTGACACTGGCCCCACCTTGGGCTCCCACAGCACCCCTATATCCTATCCCCAATGGCCTTAGCCCCTAACAAGCCACAAGACCTATAAACTGTGTACAATCAGGCAGCCAGGGCAGGTGGTGGCGATAGTCACAGGAAGACCACAAGGCCAGCATCGGTCAGAGGCAGCAGCAGGAGGAATCCCACAGGAGGAAAGAGACGCTGCCTCACCTACACAGACAGCAACTCCACACCCAAGACCTCCACGTGAACTCAACCCCCAGCAGTGCTACAAGGAAAGTGGAGAATGGCTTTATAACCTGGAGTGAAAGGTCTCAGGATGAGACACAGGTTTAAAAAGAGAACGTAAAAATATTAATCGTTCTGACTACATAAAAAATTTAAATGTCTGAAAAAAAAGAACATACCATAAACCAAGTTAAACTAAGACCGTTTCTAACAAAGACGAAGGCACCAGTGGACATCACTGAGGGGCTGACAGAGAGGAGAATCCCACCCGCCTGGGGCTCCAGGTGGCGATCCAACTTCAACAATAGTGCCTGATGGACCCTGGTCCTACAACCTCTGTTTAGGAATCTACCACATAAAGCTACTGGAGACCACCTAACGGAGACAGCTGCTCCCCTCCCACAGAGCATTCAAACAAATTCAAAAGATAGGTTAAGTCTGTGACAGTTAAAAGAAGAGAAATGGAAATTTCTAATTATTTCTGATAATGAAAGCTTGTAGCAGAAAGAACTTGTAAACAGTAACACATTTTGTAAAAGGTGAAAGTGACGCAGCAGATGCTTGTCCATAGATCAGGGACTGAGAACACGCTCCTCCAGTGGACTGACTCTGGGCATCTGGGGGTCACTCACACTTGTTTTTCAATAGGCAAAATGAATGTTCCCTGTAGCCCTGTCTGGGGAGCAAAGATGGCTTTAGGGGTAGGTAGCACTCATGGGGATGCTCTGGAGATATTTAGGGGGTTGGAGCTCAGAATGCCTCTGGCCCAGCTAACACCCTGACCCTAACACACAGCCCACATGTACTCACACATGCAGAACACCACATGAGAGAACCAACTAGATTCCAACTGGAACCACGACTCAAGTCTCTGGTCCCCAATATCATCCCAGAATGCCAAAGGCATCCCACACAAGGAGCTCCATCCTCATCCTGGAACACCCTTCCCCAAAGCCCCAAGTGGACATTGGCCCTCCCCTAGGGCCCGTCTTCAGGCATTTCTGACCCATCCTACCACCCCGTTCTGCTCTCCTGTTACCTCCTGACCATTTCCCACCTCTCACTTCCCTGTGTGCTGGTTGGGACCAAGGACCAGTTAGTGCTGACAGGGTAGGTCACTGGGTGCCCAGGTTCCCCAGGGAGAGAGGGCACCAAGCTGGAGGGTTGATCAGACCTCCTGACTCAGGCTCCACACATGGGCTCTGCAGCAGCCAGGGACAAGGGAACAATCTGGAAGCCAACCCTGAGTGTAGGGCTTGACACCCCCCACCCCACCCCCACCGCCCGACAGCTGTCCACTCCTTCGGCCCCACAACTCTTCCTACTTGGAGAAGATGACCATCAGCTTCCTCCGACTCCTCCGAGGTTCCGAGTCCTCGTCAAACTCATCACGGGCCTTGCCCAGGAAGACCTCCTGGTGGAATTCCTTGTTGAGGTGCCCATCCATCTCCATCTTCACCCCATTCAGGTGGTCTGGGGGTAGGATCTCGTTCTCGTCCCTGTTGGTGATTCTCTCCCGGGCGGCTGAATGGTTGGCAGGTCGTGTAGAAACATCCACCAGGAGGAGTACACTCAGGAGGCAAAGGCAGCGCAGGGCTCCACGGCAGGGTGAAGCCAGCCAGCCCACCATCGCCAGGTGGGGCATCACTGTCGGCGGTGACCGTGCTGGGATGGCCTGCAGACGTGAGCCCTCTACAGAGGATGGAGGGCACAGGAGGGAGTCACAATGAAGATCAGAAAGGGAGTGCACTGCCTCCTGAACCACGTGACTATGAACTGCCTGTAGCAGCTGTGGGGATGAGGCCTGGAGGGCAGGGCAGGGCCACTGGCCAGTGGGACCCCAGCAAACCACCCACTAAAGCAGTGCTGTGCACTGACACCGAGTGGTAAGTCTTCAACACTAGCCTCGGCAGGTCCCTCCTGCTCATCTCCCCACAGCCGGCACTTGGAGGCCAGGTCATCAACGCTGGCTTGAGAAAGCCACATACAGATGAGCTATGTGACCTGGGCACTGAGCCACCCCACCCCCGACACACACACACACACACACACACACACACACACAGCACTCTGCACCTGTCACAATAGCCTTACGTCCACATCACATTCACACACGGACATAAGCCACGGTTACAAGGAGTCTGTCCCTGATGCTATGCCCAGGGTCCCAGCTCTAAGGACAGGACAACCAGACTTCTGCCCACAAGCCTCTTGCCCTTCCCCAATTGGGCCTTCCACCTGCGATTCACCCACCTGCAGAAAGAATTCTTTCCTCCCCTGCCCCCAGCTGCTTTCTTAGTTCTCCACTGGCTCCTCAGGGGGCAGGTCTCTCATGCAAGCATCCCAAAAGACACACAGTTTCTCCCCTGGGCCATGCCCACAGGCATTCCTATCCCTGGGAAAGGTCCCACTCATCTTGCAGGTCTGGTTCCCCTAGTGGCCTGAACTCATGCACACAGACCCACCACAGCCAGCATCCCCCTGAACCTTGATCCTCTGTGGGTCTACACCTCCTTTGCGACCCAAACACCTGGTCTCACTGGCAGGTCTTGCTCTCTCAGTGGATCCATCTCATGTTTACTGGAGGTCCCTTTTTCCAGGACCTGGGGCAGTTCCTTGTCTACCTGTGGAAACCTTCCCCTCCCGCCAGCTCACCGTGCACATACACAGACACATACCATCTCTGAGCTGTCTGAGCATTTCTATCATGGCCTCTTAAGACCCAGGCATGTGTCGTGACTCATCATTCCTTTTCGGTTGGCTGCCAAGCACTTTTACCACTGCATCACCAGGGCTCCTCTACAAACCCGTAACTACTTAGCAGGAACTGACAAAGCAATAAATGTTGGAAATACCAGTTCAGAATTTCTAACTTAAGCATGGACAATGTTTCTGGGACAACCCTGGGTTTTGATTCTGGTGAAAGCAGAATATTCCCATGGCTAAAAAAGGCACTCATTCTAAAAGTTTTGTTATGAGTTCTAATACTAATGTTAATAACAACAGCCACTAAGTGAGCCAGATGTTGGCTAAGGGCTTTGTAGATGTAGGAATTTCTAGCCTTTACCAGATCCTACTATTTAGGGCTCGGTGAGTTTGTTGGTACTGTGGGTTAGGTATTGGACTGCTAATCACAGGTTGACAGTTCAAACCCACCAGCCACTCTTTGTGAGCGGAAGATGTGACTATCTACTACCTTCAACATTCATAGTTTCAGAAACCCTGGCGCCGTGGGCTAATGTGTCACACTGCAAATCATTTGAACTGCAAAGTCAGTGGTTCAAACTCACCAGCTGCCTCTTGGAAACCCTATACAGGGTTGCTATGAGTCGTATTTCACTCGATGGTACTTAACATAGAGGGCCATTATAAGTAGCAATCGAATGGATGGCAGACGGGTTTGGTCCACATTTTGAAGCCCGAGCTCAGTGGGTTAAGCATTGGACTGCTAATGGAAAAGCTGGCAGTTCCAATCCAACAGCTGCAATTCTACTTGGAGGGGCGCTGTGAGTCAGAGGGCAGCGGGTTTGATTTTTGGCTTTTGTCCCCAATTTAGAGATGAAGAAACGGAGGCACTTATCTAAGGTCACCTAGCTGTTAAATGGTTTAAATGGCAGCGCCCACCAACTGCTTTAGCAACCACTCCACCTTGACCTAAGTTCACTGTGGCATTAAGAGACTTTGACAAAGAGAATGACAAACACTGTAGAGGCAAGTGGGCACAGGGCCCGGACAGAAGGTAAAGGACCCTTGGAGCACCGCAAGCTCTTCTGCAGAGCCGCACGGAAGACAGGAGAAAACGATCCAAGTGTCGCGCCTAGGCTGTGAAGGTTTTTGCAACGGTCACTTTGACAGGAGTCTGGCTATCACTGGGGGCTCTCGGAGTCGGAGATACCGGGGCCAACCCCAAACTCAGCGTGTAATGTCTGGGGGCCAGGCGAGGAAGAGGTGCAGGGCCTGGAAGCCTTTCCCCAGAGAGATCAGGTGATGGTCATTTCCCTGCTGGAAGACGGCCACTGGGTGCCTCCCAGGTGCTGAAGGCTGAAGCCTATCGGCCCCCTCTACGGGCGGACGAACCGAGACGGACGATGACCCTTAGCAGAGAGCTAGAGGCAGCAGTGGCCCTCTCGGCCTCCGCCTCTCCTTGCCGTACGGACAGCAAGTAAGCGCGCCTCGAAGACTTTGGGCCCAGAGTCTGTGGGGGAGGCGGGGTCCTTCACTCACCGGTCTCTCCCTTTTCTTGACCAAGATCTGAAGAACAGAGCCGCGAGCGCCCGTGACGCCTTAAACTGAACTCTGCTCAGGCAGCTGCCATCTTTCTTCCGGGAAGAGGCGGACCGCGGGGCGGTGCCGGGTCATTGCGGAGGCGTGGGCGCCATGTTACCTCCTGGCGGAAGCGGTCGCACAACTGCTCCCGGATTGACCAATGAGAGGGGAGCACGAAGCCATGTGATGTATAGGCCGAATCGTGCCTTAGCTGCCGCTACTTCGTCTGCTTCCGAACGCCCTGCGCCTGGTACTCGGTGTTTTCGGAATCCTACAGTCAACGCGAGTGGCACGAATCACTACCTATCTCGCCCAACCCTGCTGCTACTAGGGGTTCGGGTCCTGGAAAGGAGCCGTGCGGCCATAAGCCCGCAGCTGACCGAAGCGCGCGCTCCAGGTCGCCGTGCGCACGCGCGTAGTCCGCGCTTGCGCACTCGCGCGTGCCGCCGCCAGCCCCGCCGCGGGCGCCATGAAGCTGCTGCGCCGAGCGTGGCGGCACCGGACAGCGTTGGGCCTGGGTGGCTTAGCGCTCTGCGGCGCCACTCTGCTCTACCTGGCACGCTGCACGGACGAAGGCCCGCGGTCGGGTCGCCCCCAACCGCGTGCGGGGCCCGTCGCCCGCGCTGCCTCTTCAGCCCTCCTGGCAGTGCTGGTGGCTAGTGCGCCCCGGGCGGCCGAACGGCGCAGCATCGTTCGCAGCACGTGGTTGTCGACTCCGAGGCGCGGCGGACCGAGCGACGTGTGGGCACGCTTTGCCGTGGGAACGGCCGGCCTGGGTGCCGATGAGCTGCGTGCTCTGGAACGTGAGCAGGTACGGCATGGTGATCTCCTGCTATTGCCTACGCTGCACGACTCCTACGAAAACCTGACTGTCAAGGTGCTGGCCATGCTGACCTGGCTTGACGAGCACGTGGATTTTGAGTTCGTGCTCAAGGCGGATGACGACTCATACGCACGCCTGGACCTAATAGTGGCGGAGCTGCGGGCACGAGACCCATCACGCCGCCGCCGCCTCTATTGGGGCTTCTTCAACGGCCGTGGCCGAGTCAAGCCTGGCGGCCGGTGGCGTGAGAGCTCCTGGCAACTTTGCGACTATTACCTGCCCTACGCACTGGGCGGTGGCTACGTGCTCTCAGCCGACCTGGTGCACTATCTGCGGCTCAGCCGGGAGTACCTGCGCGCCTGGCACAGCGAGGACGTGTCACTGGGCACCTGGCTGGCTCCTGTGGATGTGCAGCGTGAGCACGACCCTCGTTTTGACACCGAATACAAGTCCCGTGGCTGCAGCAACCAGTATTTGGTGACGCACAAGCAGAGCCTGGAGGACATGCTGGAGAAGCACCAGACGCTAATGCGTGAGGGCCGCCTGTGCAAGGAAGAAGTGCGACTGCGCCTTTCCTACATCTACGATTGGTCGGCGCCGCCGTCACAGTGCTGCCAGAGGAAGGAGGGCATCCCCTGAGCCGCGCCCTTGCCACCGAACAAGCTGCATTGGACACGCGCCCTGGGCACATTTCCATCCCAAAGAGCGGGGCCTTGGAACTTGGGGGCCTTGGAACTGGGTGGAGAAGGCGGATTTGAGAAAGCTCCGCAAGCACTCCGGTCGCTTCCCCCAGGCCTTACACTGCAAAAGTGGCAGATTCTGGCCAGTTTTCTAGGTGGAGTTCAGCCCGCAAAGGAGGATCTGGTGTATCTAATGGACAATGACGCTTTCAGACAAATACCAAGCATCTCTCAACACCACCCTAGGCTTCACCTCCATCTGCAACACTCAGGAGAGTGACCTTTGGTGGCCATGCATTCTCACTTCGTAGCATGTGATTTCAGGCCTGGGAGCGCCTGGGGGATACCAGGGAAACACATCATATCCTCTGAGAATGTTCTTCAGACACTCTGAGCCAGGACCGTGGGAGATGCCCCACTTGGGGTGTGAAAACATCCGGTTGGCACAGGAGAGGGGAGCCTGAGGCTGCAGCTGGCTGACAGTCAAAGGACATGAACCAAAAGAATAGGACTGTTCTGGAGTGGGGGTAAAAATCATTCCCCACATCTCACTCACCAGAAACTCCCCAGAAATACACCTTCTGACCTGCTTGTATGGCAACCAGAATGACTTCTGCCAAAATTATCATTGTCTGAAATTCTCTGTCACATATAAATCTAAGATTTCACTTTGTTTCACATTAATTAGCTTTAATGGTAGTTTGGTCGGTCTGTCTCCCTAGAGTGAATGTGTTATAAATAAGTTCAATAGTTGCCTGTGATTTATTTATAAATACTGTACATTTGTGTAGATAAGAAGTTACATTGGAAGTGTGTAGTTCTCTGTATTTTGTAAATTATTTATGAAAAGACTTTTACATCAAAACTTTGAATTTGTGGATTAATCTGTTTTTAAAATTTGAGTTGTCAACCTCGTCACTGGGTGTGTGTTTAAACTTGAAAGAATTCTAAAACTCTACATTTCTCTTTTTAAGTTTACACATAAATCATGTCCACTGTCTCTTTCTAAAAAAGATTCCTTTTAAGGCTTCCTTGTGGAGTGTCAGAACCTTCGTTGATCACACAGGCAAGTGTTTCTTGTTGGATTCTGGGCCCAAGTTCCAAGAATCTGAACTCTGGAAAGTGTTGATGAGGCTTCCCAAGTTCCGTCTTAAGAAAACAGTATTTGCTGGCAGGCTTTTGGGAGACAGAGCTCGGTCACTCGCTCCGCCTGACTGACCCTCTCGCACATACCAACATCTTCAGAAGCTGTGGATTCCGGCTTTTTTTTTTTTTCTTTCCCTTAGTTAAATGTGAAAAGTGAATACTATGGTCATTGCAAAAGTAAAATAAAGTGGCTCCGGGGACAACTAGACAGAAAGCTGTTCTTAGCCTCCTGCGGTGTGTTTTCTTTTAGATTCTGACTTGGGTTTTCTGTCTGGGTAACCTGGGCTGTGTTCCTGCCCCAGTCTTCGTATTTTCACTTGCAGCCATTTTTTATTGTTCTCCTTCCAGACAAAAGATGTAGAAATGTTTCTTCTGTATATTCAGCCATATGAATTGGAGAGGGGCTACAGAGTTCTAATTCACCTTCATACCACCCAGTCTTTGACATTCATGGACCAGGAATTTAGGATCAGGTTTGAGTTCTTTTTAAAGACAGGAAAGTATCTGGAACTCACTTTTCTTTCAGGGATCTCAGGGACTTCAAAGAAGTCGGGGGACAGGTCTCGTGATCTGTGACCCAGGTGCTTCTCCCATTTTGACTCAAATTAACAGACCTAATGATGAGGTGGTGTCTGCTGGTCGGCTGAGGGCCCAGGCCAAACGTTCGTTGTGCACACGCTGTCCAGAAGACATGTCTTCATGGAGAGAGACTGGGATTGGGGCCCTAGAGTGAACAGTCAGGGTCTGCCTCCTGGTTCCTGAGGGTGGTCAACAACCACGGGGTCCCAGATGCCATGCTGTCCATGTTGACCTGGAAGACCTAGTTGTTGTTGTTGTTGTTAAGTGCTGTCGAGTCAGTTCCGACCCATAGCGATCCTGTACAGGGTTTCCGAGAGTGTAAATCTTTACGGGAGTAGAAAGCCTCATCTTTCTCCCGCAGAGCGACTGATAGTTTCGAACCGCTGACCTTAAGATTCGCAGTCCGATTCATAACCACTACGCTACCAGAGCTCCTCGGAAGACCTAGTAGAGCCTCAGAATAGCTCGGGAAGCTGGTGCATTGACCTCTTCATAGGAGATGAGGTGCTTAGCAAGACTGACAGGACCACCCAGCCAACAAGAGTCAGGAGTCAGCAGGAGCTGGACTTCCAGACTTCTTCCTGTCATAACCTAGAACTGCCAGAGCTCATTCTCTGGAGATGAGCCACCATGGGGAAACATGGACAAATGTCCAAGACACCTTCAATAGGGACTTTTTAAAAACCAGACACCTGCGTGCTAATTGTTTAGGAAACTTGTTTCACTTAACACAAAAAAACCTATCAGACAAGTCTCGGAACTAGTGATGCAGGTCTTTCCTGAGGTCCTTGCAAGCTCCAGTCCGAACCACAGGAAATTGCCAATATGCAGCTGTTTTGACTCAAAAATGACAACTTCATATTGCCCAGCCTAAAATACTGTATCTTAAATCAATAAACCATAGCCTGGTCTGGCTATCATTTTTCTGTGGGTAACACAGTGCCGGGACTCAGAGAATTTGGATGAGTTGTAAGGGGCAACGTGGATCCTCCTGGGGCTGGAGTGTTGTGCTTGGTGACTGTGTCCTCACCACTATTTTGCTGGTGACATTGGTTATCACTAAGCACCCCTTCTGTGGAGCAACCCGCAGATAAGCCAACAATCTGAAGGAATTTGGGGTCCCTGTACATAGCATGTGGTGGGGAGCACAAGCTCAAAAGCCCAGACTTCTGGGGCACAGTGAACAGAGGCTCTGGTTAAATCTAACTTGTTCCTTAATGCTCAGCTTTCAAGAGTCAGGGGGCTGGCTTTCCTTCCTCCAGTAAACCTGCACTAGGCTGAGCAGACGTCTCCCTCATCCCCACCTGAGTCGGCAGCCATTTAGGGTTCTCACAGCCTAATTCCGCATGGGCTCCCCTGGTTCTTGTGATTCCCTCCCAGCCCCCAACAGCAGACCCCCCCCCCC